AATTAAATACAAAAAAAAAAAAAAAAAAAAAAAAAAAAAAAAAAAAAAAAAAGTCTAAAAATGATATATGACTTAACTCTTTTTTATAAAACTCCTTTTTTATAAGTATTGCCTTGCAGGTCCATGACCTCAGCCCTGATAAATGTATCAGGTTTTGCATGAAGACTACATAAACTAAAAATCTGGCCAGGGATTTAGTGCAATGACACTGTGCCTGCCTTGCAAACACAAGGTCCTGAGTTCCAGCCCCAGTTAAAAAAAAAAAGCCTGTTTGCTTTTTTGGAGGCTTACATAGAGGTACAAGTTTATAAAGCTGTGACTTAACAGAAAGGACTCCTTCCTATGCAGTACTTAAAACACATCAACCCTAATTACCTGTTTTTATATTTTATTTTAAAAAATCTAACATTTCTGTTCACAATGTATTTTTTAAAAATCAAGGAGTAAAGAACAGAACATGCTTTAAATGATGGCAGTAAATTCTATATTTCTAAGAGTAAATGCATATTTAAAACATTTTATTAATATATGAGAGAAAAAAATCTTATAGCCAAAGGTGTACTGACATGATTATCAATACTTCCAATGAATAAAACAAATTTGAAATTATATATAATTATTAGTTTCCATCTTAGTTTCTTTTCATTTGAAATTCAGAAGTAATGTGTGGCCACTGTAGGGAAAATTCATGTACTGAAAAGTTTATTAGAAAAATAAACACCTTTAAATTTTACAATATTTTCTACTTCAAGATTCTTTTAAATAAAGCAGATGTGCCTTGTGGTTTAAACATAATCTGATATACAAAATCTCATTTACTTCTATTTTGTAAAACAAAATACAAAAGTACAAATGATAAAATGATAGATTATTAACTATTAACAAAGCCAATGATAAAAATTCCCCCAAAACATCATTCGTTGCAGGTACCTAATATGGCAACATTTACTGTAAAATATATTAAAACAGCTTTCACCAAAATCAACATTATGACATTGAAATCTAAGATGTATAGTTTAAGTGTATTCTTCCAAAGTTTCATCACCTGACAAGGTATCAGCCAACCTTTCCCAGCAGAGCGGACAGTGAGTATCTCAGGCTTCAGGCCCCAGGGTCTCATCGCTCACTTCCCCAGGTGCAGGGAGAGGAGTCACAGACACCTCAGGATGGGTACCTATGTGTGTGGGCTCGGGGTGCCCGATGCTAGGCTACACATGGACCCTGAGCGAGTAGTTCAGACTTCGGATTACAAATGCCACATCTGGGGCTAGAAAGAACAATATAGGTGGGGAGCAAGACACCACAGGCGAGTAGGTATCAATAAATGAACATTGCAGATTAAAACACTCATCTTCCAGTAAAACTGAGTATGTGTTTGTGTGTGTGTATAAATCGCTTCTCGGCTTTTTAGCTAACATCAAGTGTAGCATACACACACACACACACACACACACACACACAAACACACGTTAGAAAACTAGCTCATTTTAATTCCATATTCTTTTTGGTATGCTAATAGTATCAAACCAGTCAGATAAGCAGCAAAAGGATCATGAGTGACTGAGTACTCAGAGGCTAATCAATAACCATGAAATTTGGCTTTGACATCTTAATGTTTCTACACAATGAAAACACTAATTTATTCGCTGTGCCCGTAAAAAAAAAAGTTGGATGTGTATATTCAGGTATCATTTTAAAATTTAATTGAACTATTACAATTTGAAGCTAAATGTGATTTGCTTTGTTTTATTAGAAAAAATACTCAAGCAAAGTCTACAATCATCGGTCAATTAAGAATGACTTACAAGAACATGAAGCAATAAAATAAAAATACAGGTACAAACTATATATCTGAAACACTTCTATTTGGCAATTTTATAACAAATCAAAATTTAAAAAGAACAAAGGAGATTGCAGATTACTTCGCAGATACAGAATAAAGCAATTGAAGAAGTGCTTAAGCAAAAGAAAACAAAAATATAAAGCACGCTGCTTTTTTCTTTTAAAAAATAAAATCACATTTGCTACAGATCATATGGATAATACCCTTATTAAACAACCATTCCAGAATGCCTTATAGTAGCAATGCTTTTATTTGCACTTCACTAAATTTTATGACTCATTTCGTGTATATAGCTCTTTACCCCATTGTTTACGAATAAAGTCTCATGGAATCTTTCCCATTTTGGAACCAAAGTTTAATTCTATATTTTTGTCTATTTAAAAAATTTAGCGTAAAAACTGCTGGTTTTATATCACTGTAGTAAAGTGAAAACTCCTCAATCAGGAGTATTTTGTGCAGTTTGACTGCAAATAAACCACATACTTTACAATATGTCCTTCCAACAGTAAGGAAAAAACTGACTTCACGGTCACTGTCAGAAATGAGTGCCATAATTCTATTATGGGTGTAGGTCCTCCCTCGAGGACTTTCTGGAAGGGTGTTCAATATGTTTTGTCCTTATAGATATTAACAGTAGTACACAGTCCCTTAGGTCTGCAAAAGACATTTATTGTTAAAGAAGGTGCTTTATTAACAGTTCCTCTGGCAGCACTAGTGAATTACAATATCCTTCAATATTATTTCTACCATAATATATACATTTTAACTTTCATGCCTCTAGAAAAACATCTACAGTACATTTCATAATATAAAAATATATTACAAATCTGCTGAAGTATTTACAGGCAATGTTCTATTATCTCTATGGAACATTTGTTTGATACAATACTAACAAGTTACACAAATTTCCATTTCTGAAAGTTAAAAAAAATTCCATATGGCTTCTTGCTCACCAAGCAAGAAAGTGATTTTATTTTCCTTTTCAAAACCAACTTTGGTGCATAAAGGATTCAGTTTGAAGATATTTTAAAAAAAATACAATTCTTCTTACATTAAGAAAAAACAATTCAAAAACCAAATGCTTTCCTTGGAAAAAAATTAGAGTCATATAGGCTAAATGAAAATACAAAGATTATTCAAATTTGAAAGAGGTTTTTCAAAAACCGTTAGCAAATGAGTTCTACAGATGATTAACATACTGTACCCCATGAGAAAGCCCTAGTCCTGAAAAGGGAGCCACCAGACACTGCAACACTCTTTAACAGACTTTCAGCCCTAATTTGATAGATGAATTTTTAGTTGATTGCAAATGCCGTTCACTGTTTGCTTAAATACAAATTGAACACTTTTCTTATCAGAGTTCTGCAAAAGAACACAAATGGCAACCAATCACATCTATTTATCATGGCTGGAAAGTTAATTATCTGTTGAGAATTTTCACTAAATAGTGCCTACTATGACTTTGAATCAGACACTGTCAAGACAAATATCTTTACAGTGCTTCTGGTCTTTCTAAGGGCACATATTGTGACTGTCGTTTTTGCCAATGAAACTACTGTAATCACTACAGGGAAGCAAAAGCAGCTTAAAGCAGCAAGCATGCAAAGCCTTTGAGAAGCTGTTCCTATGTTGCCGGAAGAGTGTCTGCTCAGTCTCCCACAGTACCATTCCATGACATGTGGATATACAGTAATATATTAATATACTCCATGGAGAGCCTACTCCATTCACAGAATGTTTACACTAAGCATAAATATTATTCTAAATACTGGATTAGAAAAAAAAAAAAAAGAGGAAGGGGTTGACTCTAATGTGCAACTTTTCCTAAACCCATTGTCAGTGACTAAGACTGCAGGTGTCCCCGCTTGTTTGCTTTTTATGTATTTATTTATTTTTTACCTCTTCAACCTCTTCTGCGGCATTGTTCTAGAAAGAGAGAAAAAGGAATTTTCTTTTATTTAACTGAATCAAACACAAGCACTTCAAAAGAAAGACATTGAAAGTACTAAGATATACATGATAGCCACGGATTGTCACTACAAGTCATTTCCACATGGTGCCCCCTGCCTAAGTCCCAGCTATCTGGGAGGCTGTAGCAGGATGATCACTGGAGCCCAGGGGTTCGAAAGCCACCCTGAGCCAACACAGCAATACCTGTCTCAAAAACCATTTTAAAAGGGCAAAAGGAAACGGGCAGCAAGTTACTTCCACAATATCTGCATATAAGGAATATATCTAACAAGGGCTTTGTAACCTTTTCTTATGTAGCTTGCTAATGTGTTCCTAAGAATTTCACAACACACATTTTAACCAACTACTATTTTAAAACTGATGTTCAGATCCCAAATATGTTCACTATAGATTCACTTTGAAGTTATATATTTTTGGAAAATCTGCCAATTTCATTCACAAGAATATAAATGTGAATTTATTTCTCCTAAAAAACAAGTTAAAATAACTTTTTCCCATTTACTTAATTTCACAGGTTTCCTGGTCCAGATCCAGAAATTCAGGCAACAATGCCACACCTCAGCAAAGAAGGGGCTCCCATGACTCGGTACTGCTCACTCTGGAGGAGACTCAGCTCTGGCTTCCAAACTAAACATGGGGGCAGGGGCAGTTAAGAATTACATCCAGAGACGCACCTAATGTCTTCAGAGTGCCTTCATTTCCCAACAATGAGATCAGTAAACTGTAGAATTAAATAACTTAAGAACATCCAGTATCATTCTTACGTACTTCTGAGCATCGGTTCTAAGCGTAAGTGGTATTTTGTCACATCACTTTCGCTGAAATATCTAAATGGCTTTTTACACAGGACAAGGGCAACAGAAACAAGCTGCTGTGGTGAGACGGAAACAGGGCGGGAGAAGTGGGCACCCAACGAAGCCGCAGCTGCCCTTCTAAGCTCCCAGAGCAGCCCGTGGTGCCAGAGGTGAACCCAACCTTCCAGTGCTCTGATTTAACCTCCCCTCGAGAGGAAACAAGTCCTGATTTTTTTCTGGATAAAGAGGGGTGAATTGTGACTTTCCCATAATTTCCCTCAATCCTTTCCTTGATAATCTATCTCATCCTACAAAGAACACATTTCATTGCATTTAGCACTTGACCAAAGGATGGCTAAAGAAATTGGTGAAATTCAAGTCCCGCTATTGCCACACAGCAAAGCCCATTACATCAGAACTGCATCCTGAAGCTGGCTGAGGTGGTGTACACTTGCACTCTCAGCACTCTGGGAGGCTGAGACAGGAGGTCTCCAAGTTCATGCCCAGCCTGGACAACTTACAAGATTCTATCTCACAATAAAAATTAAGAAGGGGCTGGGGATGTGGCTCAGGACAGATGCCCTGGGTTCAATCCCACTACCACTACCTCTACCACATATGTAAGTACATACATACACATTCATTCTCAGAAAGAATATCTCAAAACTACAGGAATCATGTTACACTGAGTAACATTCAAAACAACTGAGTCATGGAATGAACAAAATCTTCAAGGTGCTTGATTACCACAAAATTAATATAAAATTAACTTTATGAAAAGTTAAAATATCCCTAAATTAGCCATGGCCATCCTGGCACTCAGGAGGATCACTCCTGAACGGGGGGGGGGGGGGG